GGGTCCACGTTAGCATGAGCCCCGCTCCGCTCTGGAAGCCAGAGACTGCTTTTTCTTTTCACTGGCCCCTGCCAGCTGTCTCAAACGCTTGGCAGTGTTCCCGAGCACTGGAGCTCACAGAATCTGCTGCGTCCCCAGCTGGGGGCAGGCTCTGGAGTCTGCTTCACCCCCAGGGCCGTGCACTGTGCTGCTGGCCTGGGCCGCATTGTTGGGGCCCATGGGACTGTGCCAGAGGCACCAGTGCCCCTCCTAAGAGCCCTGCTCCCTCCCTGGTAGTGGTGTTGTTCCTTCAGACACTGTTCAAAGCTCTTCCTCACTTGGTACAAGGCTCCTAGCTGATAGGGCAGGACAGACTTCCCAGTGAGACAGAGCCCTGCCCCAGTCAGGGGCATCCCATTTCCATCTGCAAAAGGGAGGTTTGGAGCAGTGACCTAGAAGCCCTGGGCTTGGACTATGGCAATTTTCTCTGCATGGGACTCAGGAGGAAGGTGAGGAAACCCTGCTGGGATCTGATTTACTCTTGAATCTGGTGATGGCAAAGGACTTTGTGATTATGTTGGTTGTGTCCTGAAAACTATGCAGCTCTTGGCTAGCTCCTTGTGTTGGAAGGGTATTCAGCAGTGCACTTAACTCACTGGCCTCCCTGCTGACCAGCTGTGTAGGGGCACAAGTGAGGGCCAGGTCTGGACTTTCAGTCCTAACTAAGTACATGGCTGTTGCTTCTTTTGACGGACACGCTAGTTGGTATTTGGAATCTGACTAGATCCCAAATGTGGTCCGTGCTGGCTGAGACAGGCTTGTGGGAGGATCTGGCATCAGCTGAGTGTGGTAACTGGCTGCCTAACCCCAAGCTGAAAGACTCCACAGGCTAGTCCCAGCCCTCCAGGGCAGGGTGTCCTTAGAGCAAAGTGTCTGCAGTGCCTCCCTCCACTTCCTGCTCTGCCTCCTGCTTCGGGAGCCCACTTCTCTGAAATGGCGAGCAGAATCTGCCATGTCCGGTGGTGGCACTTTGTCCCAGGCCCACCGGTAATAGCCTACCCTTGCACAGATCCATCTCTCCCCAAGCCTGGCATGTACCCTGTGTACAGCAGCACCACAGTGCCAGTCTTTGCCAATGACACCTATGGAGATGCACTGGAGGGTCACAGTGTAGCCTGGAGCTTGGTGTTAGGGCTGTTGCTGGCTGGTTCCAAGGTGCATTGGTGCTGCCAGCCTGAAGCTCAGATCACTCTGGCGAGCGTCTGGCTGCTGCATCCCTAGGAAGCTGCGAGTGGCTGAGTCAGCGGAGGAAGAAGCCCGTAAGCCTTTGAATGACTTGCAGATCTTTAGTCAGACTGGATTTGTATATAATTACCCACAATGCCCTGGGTTATAGGTCTCAACTTCCTCCATTAACAATTCAGTTGCCAGTGCAAGGTCCCAGTAATGGGGACAGCCGAAGCTAGAGTTTCCCCTGCCTAGGGGAAACTGAGGCACCCCCACACTATTCAGAGGAAACATTAAGAACAGTCCCGCTTCGTCACACTGCTGCATTTATTTATGTTTCCAGATACGTTACAGCTAGGCAGGCACCACAGGACCCCCACCCTATCCTAGGGCCTAGGACGAGCCCAGGCAGGGAGAGCTGTGGAGCCCTGCCCCAGTGCAGCCTGCACAGGAGGGCCCCAGCTGGCCCTGGGTGCAGGGAGGGCTGCTTCAGCAGAGCCCCCTGCCCTGGGAGGACTCCACCCCAGGTAGAGGATTCCCCAATGACAGACACACCCACCCTCCAAGAGCAGCAAGGGAAGCGCACCCCCAGGGCTGGCACTTAGCACTGGGTCCTCCTCCATTCGCTCTCCCTGGGGTCAGCCTGGTGCCCCCTGCCTATCGCTCTCAGCACACCTTCTCCCACGCCCTTCTCCAGCCTCACATCCCCTCATGGTCAGTGACTGAGTGTTTCAGGGCTAGGCTTGGCCCCGTCTCTGGCTTTCAGCCCTGACCCCACAGGACAGGGGGAATTTCCTCTGCCTGCCCCAGGAAAGAGGGTAAATTGGGTAAGTTAAAGCAAAGGGGTTAATCAGTTCTTTGATATCTGCCTTGCGTGCTAAGATGCTGTGACGAAGTGGGACTGTTCTTAATGTTTTCTCTGAATATTGGGGGGTGCCTCAGTTTCCCCTATGCAGTTCTTAAGTATCTAGGGGGTGAGATAAGGGTGTATGATCGTTGCAGAGCCCTAGAGGGCAGGGGTGTGCAGGGGTCTGGACACAGAGAATGGCCGACACCCTGTTTCCTGGCAACTGATGGCCTGAGCCCATCCCCCCTGGAAGGTGAGAGCTAAAGGGTTGGAGAACAAAGGAATCAGGTGACCTCCCGTCCCGGGAAAGGGACAAAGCCCAGAGGAGGAGGGGCTGGAGAGAGTTTTCAGTTTGGGGCTAGCTGGGGACATGGAGTGAAGTGCAGACATGGTTGTCTGGCTCACCGCCCCCCAAAATGGACCCGGCTGAGGGGTCATGTTCTCTGCACCTACAAGCTCTGTGTTAGACTGTGTTCCTGTCATCTAATAAACCTTCTGTTTTACTGGCTGGCTGAGAGTCCCGTCTGACTGCGGAGTTGGGGGGCAGGACCCTCTGGCTTCCCCAGGACCCCGCCTGGGCGGACTTGCTGTGGGAAACGCACGGAGGGGCAGAGGATGCTGAATGCTCCGAGGTCAGACCCAGGAAGGTGGAAGCCGGGTGAGCTGTGTGTCCGGCAGACAGGCTGCTCCCAGAGAGGAGACTTCCCCAGAGTCCTGACTGGCTTTGTAGGGAGCAGCTCAGGAGCATTGCCCGGGGACTCGGTGATAGATGCCATTTGACATTTCACACCTCTGCCTAGGCCTCTTTCCCCTTTCCTCCCCTCCCTGCTCCGCTCCATTGCACTGGCTCTCCTCTCCTCTTTTCCACCCTTTTCTCCCCACCCCTGTGGGTCTGACTTACCTGGCAGTGTGTTTGCTAATCATGGATAATGATGCTCTGCAATCCTCTTTGGAACAATGATGCCAGAGCGGCTGGGCTTTCTCCCTTGCTGTTCTCCAAGTTGAAGCCTGCTCTAGTTTCTCTTTCCGGAATGTCCAGACTTCCTTCTCTGAGGATCCCTGCGCAGTAGGAGCAGGGGCTGCTGACCTTGCCAGATTCAGAGTTGCGCCAAAGCTCATGGGTCACCACTCGCCCCCTATTCAGTGGCCCCTGGTGAGTCTGAGTCCAGTTCCCAGTGCTGCCCCACTGCTGGCTCGGAAAGCAGGGGCCTGAGGGCTGATGGAGCAAAGGAGACACAGACCAGAGCTCTGCAGAGCAATGCTCTATAGATGCAGCAGTAGGTCCACAAGCCATTTCAAGGCCTCTTCTGTGACACTGTGGATATTGTCCAGTTCACCTCTGACTCCGCTCTAGGCACCAGCACAGCAAGCACGGGCTTGGGGTGGCATGTTTCCAGGGGCGGCCTTCCAGCCATCCTTTTTTTCCCCCGGCCCCGCTCAGACAACCAGGGAGCCCCTGCGTGGGGTGGGGCGATGGGCTCAGTGCGGGGGTCCTGGCCCGGGGGCGGTTGCCCTGGCCCCCGCCACCATGGGAGCCGGGGCGATGCGGCTTCTCCCTTCCTGCCCATCCCTGCCGCACGTGTCACAAGTGGTGGAGGAGCTGGAGTCAAGTGGAGGGGAGCCCGGGATCGGGGCAAGACCCTTGGCCGATAAGGGACCCGCTGCCCCGGGTGGCTCGGTGCTGGGTGGGTGCCCCTGGTCTGCCCCCTCCCTGCGGCTGACCCGCCCCCCAGCCACTCTGTCGGTTACTGTCCCCTCTGCTGGGGTGGGGCTGGGGGCCCACGGGCGGGATGTACAGCCCCAAGCACCTCACTCCAAACACTGCTATGGCATTACACATTCTTTAAACAGTGGCTTCTGGTGAGCGCAGTGTCTCAAAACTGAAATTACTAAAAAATTATTTGAGTCCACTATGTCTCAAAATCATCTGTCAGGACTTGGATTAATTTCAGTTGAAAGGACCATTGGGAAAAACGTAGATGTCACTGAATTATTAAAAGGACGCAAGTATAAACCTAGAAACATCCAATTCATATAAATTCTTTTAATTTATGAGAAACTGGGTGCACCAGAAGACACTAAGGTTATTACAGTGCATAGTTGAACCCAAATTGTTTGTAATTGTGATTTTGCTAAAATTAAATGAGTACACTAGTAGGAAATTGTTTTATTTCACTAACTACAAATTCTGTTTTCATTTTTTTAAAATTTTAAACAGTTAAAAAAAACCCAAAACAAAACAAAAAAACATTGCAAAGTGCAAACGTGTAAAAGGCAAAAAAGGCGGGGGAGGGATTTTTTTGCTTGGGGGTGCAAAAAACCTAGAGCCAGCCCTGGTTCTGCTGTGTTCAGTGGCTTGGCTGTTCTCACCACAGTCACATGAAGGGGAGTCTTTGAGTTTCCACTTGTGCATCAAGTAGCTGTATCTTCCCTGGTGTGTTTGGATGTGGTTTGGTGTGGCCCAAAGTGCGTGGCAGGTGGAACCTGGGAGGGCAGTATGTTGGCTGGTCCCTGTCCATCAGGCCTGAGGCACACGGACTGGTTCAGGCTGCATCTGTCCTGGCAATAGTTGGCAGCCATCCATCTGGCTGTTCCACTCAAGACATTTCTACAGCCAGGGTTCCCTGTGAGAGGACAACAGGCCATGAGCCCTCCTGCTGCAGGGCATGCGCCAGCCATTTCCCTGTGGGGAGCTTACCCCAAGGGACTGGACATGCATGCATACAGGTCTGAGCCTCTCTGCCCATTCCTAGGGTCCTGTCAATAGAGTTACAAACCCCTGCAAACACCTGTCTCCAGTGGGGTCCCCCCCAGGACTGCCCTGCTTTGGCCTGTGGACGGTATGGCCTCCAACCCTTGGGGTCTCCTGGCCCCACTTGCTTGCTCTGAGGACTTCTCAGGCTCTGCATGGGGCTGGACAGTCAGCAGCCTTCTTCTGTCTCTGCAGGGTAATCAGGACGCCACGGCTCCTCCTGAAGCGATGGCTCAGCCCTACCCCCCAGCCCAGTATCCTCCGCCTCCCCAGAATGGAATCCCTGCAGAGTACGCACCCCCGCACCCGCACCCTCACCCCACACAGGATTACTCGGGGCAGAGCACGGTACCGGAGCACGCCATGACCCTCTACACACCAGCACAGAGCCACGCTGAGCAGCCGGGCACCGACGCCGGCACGCAGTCCATAGCAGGGACGCAGACGGTATCGGTAAGAGCCCCCATGGAGCCCCGGGTGGGCAGCGGGGCTTTTCAGGTGAGAGGAGCAGTGATGAGCCACGAAGGGATTCAGGGTCCTTTGGCCACAGGCTGGCGCTTGGGGCCAGTGCCGTCGGTGTCTCTTGGGAGGCAGGGCAATATGCCAGCGTGGGGGAGGGGGCGAGATGGTAGCAAGTGCTCTGAGAATGTGTGTATGAAACAGTGACCTGGGGAATCCTGGAGTCACCTGCCTGGCAGCAGGGGGCTGTGGGTCAGGACTGAGGGCCTGGTAGAGTTGTCAGTAAGGTCCCAGGCTGGAAGAACAGCCTTGCCCACCAGGGAGGCAGGTGGGTCACGCAGCCCCTGCCCCCCTGTTCCCAGCGTTAGCCTAGGCTCTCAGTCCCAAGTCTAGGCCTCTGCCCCAGAGCTGAGCAACCTGTGGCTACAAAGGGAGAGCCATAGGCTGAGCCTGCAGCTCCAGCACCCCTGGGGGCTGCTGTGCCCACAGCACGGGCAGCGGCAGTTTGCAGTTGCCAGTTCCTCTCCCAGTTTACGGGCTCCCCTGTCATTTCTAATCACTTGTAATCTACCTGCTTGGCTACTGTCCAATCAGATAGCTCCCATTAGGTGGTTGTAATGCAGCTCCAAGCGGAAAGTGCTGAGCTCTCACTTCCCAGCCAGCCCCCGCAGCGAGTGCCAGCCCGCACCACACAGCACCGCTGGGCCCGCTCCTGGCCTTGCCTCCACACGCACGCACGCTTGTCCACACTCTGACTGCACAGGCATGCACGCTCATCCATGCTCGTGCTGCACACACGCACACTCGTCCACACGCACTGCATGCACACACGCATGTCCATGTGCACACTGCACGTGCACGCTGCATATGCAAATGCTCGTCCACATGCACGTTGTCCACACACACTTGTCCACACTCACGCTGCACGCATGCACACTCATCCACATGCGCATTGCACACACTCCTTTCAACTTATGCTGCACACTTGCACACTCATCTGCATTCTGCACACATGCGTGCACACTTATCCACACTGCACATATGCACACTCATCCCCATTCACCTTGCACGCACTCACACTTGCACACTCACCCTCTCACATAACTCTTGCACATACACATGCACCAACTTGCACACCCTCACTTAATTCAGTCTAGTGGGGCTGTGTTGGTGACAAGCTAGACATGTGCTGCCAAAGTGCAAAAGGAGATGGAGCCCGGGGGCTGTGGGAGGGGGCCACACACTGTTTGGGCTTTGACCCCGGGTCCATTTTACAGTACAGCCAGTGCTGACCCTCTGGCAGGCCTCTCTGCAGCACCAGGCCAGCTCTTCTCCCTGGGGTCAGGCACAGCTTCGCCCTGCACCTTTCACGAGAGGTCTCCACCCCTGCAGTGGGAGGAGCTCGTTCACCCCCTCTCCCTCGCACGCCCTGTCTGGGGATCAGATACTGCAGCAGGAAGGGCCTGGCTCAGACCATAATGCCAGGTAGGGGGTTAGTGATGCTGCATGGGGCTCCTCGGGGGCAGTGGCCCTTGGCGGCATGTCCCCTTCCCAGCACGAGTGCTGCAGTGGGCTGATGGTTTTGGGGTCCTTTTTTCCAGCAGACAGATGAAGCCGCACAGACAGAGAGCCAACAGCTCCATTCCTCAGAGAACTCAGACAAGCAGCAGCCCAAGAGGTTACATGTCTCCAACATCCCCTTCCGATTCCGGGATCCAGACCTGCGGCAAATGTTCTGGGAGGGGTGAATTGTTGCATAGAAAAGCCCTTGGGAAAGGAATCCTCATGGAGTCTTTGCAAGCAGTTTACTGCAACTGAAGGGTGTGAAAGTGATTTAATCAAGAAAGTTTCAGTTCCTAACAGCCAGAAATTTTCTGTTGTGAATGGATCCACTGACTTTGCTGTTGAAAGATCCAGTGTGGAGAGCTTTGAGAAGGTCTCAGATGGAGTGAAAGCTGTTAAGAAAGGTATACCGTCCTATAACCAAGTGGCTGTGTTTGGCCAGCTTGTTGGGGAGACAAGGTTGTGGAGAAAGGGATGTCTCCATGCTAGTTCTGTAAGTGAACAGTGTGTGGCCCAGGTCAAGATGGGGGCCCTTAACCAAGAGAGCCCGAATTGCAGCCCTCCAGACTGGAGCTCTGGGAGAAAACCCAATCCCAGTTTGACCCCCTGGGTTTTTGGGGTGGCCAAAGGGCATGGGCTGCAGAAACCTTCCCACATGCAGCCTGCTAGTGCTATCGACCACCCCCGACCTAAGGGAGGGCGTGAAACTGGAAGGGCCTGGTGTAACTCCTACCAAGGAATGGGAGAGATGCTGGGGCATCCATGGGAACATTGGTGGCTTCGAACTTCCCCAGGTCACCGGGTAAAGTGACCCCGCTCAGTTCAATCTCGAAGGCGGGAGAGATGTGACGAAGTGGACCTGTTCTTAATGTTTCCTCCGAATATTGTGGGGGTGCCTCAGTTTCCCCTATGCAGTTCTTAAGTATCTAGGTGGTGGGGTAAGGGTGTATGATCATTGCAGAGCCCTAGAGGGCAGGTGTGTGCAGGGATCTGGACACAGAGAATGGCCGACACCCTGTTTCCTGGCAACTGATGGCCTGGGCCCTTCCCCCCTGCAAGGTGAGAGCTGAAGGGTTGGAGAACAAAGGAATCAGGTGACCTTGTGGCCCTGGAAAGGAACAAAGCCCAGAGGAGGAGGGGCTGGAGGGAGTTTCAGTTTGGGGCTGGCTGGGACATGGAGTGAAGTGCAGACGTGGTTGTCTGGCTCACTGCCCCCCAGAATGGACCCAGCTGAGGGGTCCCGTTCTCTGCACCTGCAAGCTCTGTTTTAGACCATGTTCCTGTCGTCTAATAAACCTTCTGTTTTACTGGCTGGCTGAGAGTCACGTCTGACTGCGAAGTTGGGGTGCAGGACCCTCTGGCTTCCCCAGGAGCCCCGCCTGAGCGGACTCGCTGGGGGAAGCGCACGGAGGGGCAGAGGATGCTGAATGCTCCGAGGTCAGACCCAGGAAGGTGGAAGCTGTGTGAGCTGCGTGTCCTGAAGACAGGCTGCTCACAGAAAGGCGACTACCCCAGAGTCCTGACTGACTTCATGGGGAGCAGTTCCAGAGCATCGCCCAGGGACTCCGTGACAGCATGTTTCCAGGGGCGGCCTTCCAGCCATCCTTTTTTTCCCCCGGCCCCGCTCAGACAACCAGGGAGCCCCTGCGTGGGGTGGGGCGATGGGCTCAGTGCGGGGGTCCTGGCCCGGGGGCGGTTGCCCTGGCCCCCCGCCACCATGGGAGCGGGGCGATGCGGCTTCTCCCTTCCTGCCCATCCCTGCCGCACGTGTCACAAGTGGTGGAGGAGCTGGAGTCAAGTGGAGGGGAGCCCGGGATCGGGGCAAGACCCTTGGCCGATAAGGGACCCGCTGCCCCGGGTGGCTCGGTGCTGGGTGGGTGCCCCTGGTCTGCCCCCTCCCTGCGGCTGACCCGCCCCCCAGCCACTCTGTCGGTTACTGTCCCCTCTGCTGGGGTGGGGCTGGGGGCCCACGGGCGGGATGTACAGCCCCAAGCACCTCACTCCAAACACTGCTATGGCATTACACATTCTTTAAACAGTGGCTTCTGGTGAGCGCAGTGTCTCAAAACTGAAATTACTAAAAAATTATTTGAGTCCACTATGTCTCAAAATCATCTGTCAGGACTTGGATTAATTTCAGTTGAAAGGACCATTGGGAAAAACGTAGATGTCACTGAATTATTAAAAGGACGCAAGTATAAACCTAGAAACATCCAATTCATATAAATTCTTTTAATTTATGAGAAACTGGGTGCACCAGAAGACACTAAGGTTATTACAGTGCATAGTTGAACCCAAATTGTTTGTAATTGTGATTTTGCTAAAATTAAATGAGTACACTAGTAGGAAATTGTTTTATTTCACTAACTACAAATTCTGTTTTCATTTTTTTAAAATTTTAAACAGTTAAAAAAAACCCAAAACAAAACAAAAAAACATTGCAAAGTGCAAACGTGTAAAAGGCAAAAAAAAGGCGGGGGGAGGGATTTTTTTGCTTGGGGCGGCAAAAAACCTAGAGCCAGCCCTGGTTCTGCTGTGTTCAGTGGCTTGGCTGTTCTCACCACAGTCACATGAAGGGGAGTCTTTGAGTTTCCACTTGTGCATCAAGTAGCTGTATCTTCCCTGGTGTGTTTGGATGTGGTTTGGTGTGGCCCAAAGTGCGTGGCAGGTGGAACCTGGGAGGGCAGTATGTTGGCTGGTCCCTGTCCATCAGGCCTGAGGCACACGGACTGGTTCAGGCTGCATCTGTCCTGGCAATAGTTGGCAGCCATCCATCTGGCTGTTCCACTCAAGACATTTCTACAGCCAGGGTTCCCTGTGAGAGGACAACAGGCCATGAGCCCTCCTGCTGCAGGGCATGCGCCAGCCATTTCCCTGTGGGGAGCTTACCCCAAGGGACTGGACATGCATGCATACAGGTCTGAGCCTCTCTGCCCATTCCTAGGGTCCTGTCAATAGAGTTACAAACCCCTGCAAACACCTGTCTCCAGTGGGGTCCCCCCCAGGACTGCCCTGCTTTGGCCTGTGGACGGTATGGCCTCCAACCCTTGGGGTCTCCTGGCCCCACTTGCTTGCTCTGAGGACTTCTCAGGCTCTGCATGGGGCTGGACAGTCAGCAGCCTTCTTCTGTCTCTGCAGGGTAATCAGGACGCCACGGCTCCTCCTGAAGCGATGGCTCAGCCCTACCCCCCAGCCCAGTATCCTCCGCCTCCCCAGAATGGAATCCCTGCAGAGTACGCACCCCCGCACCCGCACCCTCACCCCACACAGGATTACTCGGGGCAGAGCACGGTACCGGAGCACGCCATGACCCTCTACACACCAGCACAGAGCCACGCTGAGCAGCCGGGCACCGACGCCGGCACGCAGTCCATAGCAGGGACGCAGACGGTATCGGTAAGAGCCCCCATGGAGCCCCGGGTGGGCAGCGGGGCTTTTCAGGTGAGAGGAGCAGTGATGAGCCACGAAGGGATTCAGGGTCCTTTGGCCACAGGCTGGCGCTTGGGGCCAGTGCCGTCGGTGTCTCTTGGGAGGCAGGGCAATATGCCAGCGTGGGGGAGGGGGCGAGATGGTAGCAAGTGCTCTGAGAATGTGTGTATGAAACAGTGACCTGGGGAATCCTGGAGTCACCTGCCTGGCAGCAGGGGGCTGTGGGTCAGGACTGAGGGGCCTGGTAGAGTTGTCAGTAAGGTCCCAGGCTGGAAGAACAGCCTTGCCCACCAGGAGGCAGGTGGGTCACGCAGCCCCTGCCCCCCTGTTCCCAGCGTTAGCCTAGGCTCTCAGTCCCAAGTCTAGGCCTCTGCCCCAGAGCTGAGCAACCTGTGGCTACAAAGGGAGAGCCATAGGCTGAGCCTGCAGCTCCAGCACCCCTGGGGGCTGCTGTGCCCACAGCACGGGCAGCGGCAGTTTGCAGTTGCCAGTTCCTCTCCCAGTTTACGGGCTCCCCTGTCATTTCTAATCACTTGTAATCTACCTGCTTGGCTACTGTCCAATCAGATAGCTCCCATTAGGTGGTTGTAATGCAGCTCCAAGCGGAAAGTGCTGAGCTCTCACTTCCCAGCCAGCCCCCGCAGCGAGTGCCAGCCCGCACCACACAGCACCGCTGGGCCCGCTCCCTGGCCTTGCCTCCACACGCACGCACGCTTGTCCACACTCTGACTGCACAGGCATGCACGCTCATCCATGCTCGTGCTGCACACACGCACACTCGTCCACACGCACTGCATGCACACACGCATGTCCATGTGCACACTGCACGTGCACGCTGCATATGCAAATGCTCGTCCACATGCACGTTGTCCACACACACTTGTCCACACTCACGCTGCACGCATGCACACTCATCCACATGCGCATTGCACACACTCCTTTCAACTTATGCTGCACACTTGCACACTCATCTGCATTCTGCACACATGCGTGCACACTTATCCACACTGCACATATGCACACTCATCCCCATTCACCTTGCACGCACTCACACTTGCACACTCACCCTCTCACATAACTCTTGCACATACACATGCACCAACTTGCACACCCTCACTTAATTCAGTCTAGTGGGGCTGTGTTGGTGACAAGCTAGACATGTGCTGCCAAAGTGCAAAAGGAGATGGAGCCCGGGGGCTGTGGGAGGGGGCCACACACTGTTTGGGCTTTGACCCCGGGTCCATTTTACAGTACAGCCAGTGCTGACCCTCTGGCAGGCCTCTCTGCAGCACCAGGCCAGCTCTTCTCCCTGGGGTCAGGCACAGCTTCGCCCTGCACCTTTCACGAGAGGTCTCCACCCCTGCAGTGGGAGGAGCTCGTTCACCCCCTCTCCCTCGCACGCCCTGTCTGGGGATCAGATACTGCAGCAGGAAGGGCCTGGCTCAGACCATAATGCCAGGTAGGGGGTTAGTGATGCTGCATGGGGCTCCTCGGGGGCAGTGGCCCTTGGCGGCATGTCCCCTTCCCAGCACGAGTGCTGCAGTGGGCTGATGGTTTTGGGGTCCTTTTTTCCAGCAGACAGATGAAGCCGCACAGACAGAGAGCCAACAGCTCCATTCCTCAGAGAACTCAGACAAGCAGCAGCCCAAGAGGTTACATGTCTCCAACATCCCCTTCCGATTCCGGGATCCAGACCTGCGGCAAATGTTCGGGGTGTGTATGGCCAGTGTGTGCACCAGCCCCGTCGTCCCCGGTGGGCCCAGGAAGAGGCAGGGCAGGGGACTTGACATTGCAAACATAGAACTAATGGATCCTAACAGTGTCCAAGTGCTTACCTTATCTTGTCTCTTGTTCGCATGCCAGGCTCTCCCCCTTTCCCCAGGGCATATCCCAGGCTGCTACCTCCGGGCAGACTGACTGGGAGCCTCTCATTCCTGGCCTGGCCTGGCAGGTTAACTGGGGACCCCAGGGCTCTGGAGCTCCGACCCGGCAGGTTAGCTGGGGCCCTCAGGGCTCTGAAGCTCCGACCCAGCAGGTTAGCTGGGGCCCCCAGGGCTCTGGAGCTCCGGCCCGGCAGGTTAGCTGGGCCCCCAGGGCTCTGGAGCTCTGGCCTGGCAGGTTAGATGCGCCCCCAGGGCTCTCCTTGAAGGGCTGCACAGCAGAGCATTAAGTTGGCAGTCCCATCGCTTGGGGCTCAGCTCAGCCTGTGTGAACATGGGTAGCGCTGTGCAGGGTAGGCCCCTTGCCTGCTCCGCCAGCGGGAGATTTGCAGCAGGCCTGCAAATGATTTTGATGATTTAACTGGGAATTGGTCCTGCTTCGAGCAGGGGGTTGGACTAGATGACCTTCAGGGGTCCCTTCCAACCCTGATATTCTATGATTCTATGCTCCCCGTGTGCCTGGGGGTCGGGGATGAGGCAGGCCCCTCTGCAGAGCCCGGGCACTGTTCTCACCCCTCTGCTCTCTCTGATTGCAGCAATTCGGGAAGATCCTCGACGTGGAGATTATTTTCAATGAGCGGGGCTCCAAGGTGGGTGCTGCCCGAGGCCGGCGTCATTACAGCAGCCCCGGGAGCAGGCCAGGCTGACCTGTGACATGTGCGTTTCTCCTGGCGAAGGCTCCACTCAGGGAGGGACTCAGGGGCTCGTCTTCCCTGCTCTTCCTGACTCACTCCTGTCCTGCCCAGCTGTCTGTGTGCTGCTGCTTCTCTCTCCCGCTCCCTCCCTCTCTGCGGCCAGGGGCCTGCCCCACACTCCAGTCCCCTGCCTCTCACCTGCACTCAGGTGCCTCCCAACTGGCCGCAGCTCAGACCACAGCCATGGGGACAAAGGGCACTGGCCTAATGCCAGCCCCTTACCAGAGGGGAGCAGCCACTGTTCACCCTCATCTGAGCAGAAGGGATTTCACTGGGGGGTGGCTCGGTCCCTCTGCCCCGTGCCGGCGGGACACGATGGCTCGGTCCCTTTATCCTGTAATAGGGAAAACACGGGGGGGAACAGCTTGGTCTCTCTGTCCCATGCCAGGCAGGAGGGGAACCACGGCTTGGTCCTTCTGTCCCATGATGGAGAGTGGATAGCATGGGGTGGGCAGTTCAGTCCCTCCATCCCACACTGAGGGGGGTGGCTCGGTCCCTCCGTCCCACACTGAGGGGGCTGGCTCGGTCCCTCCGCCCCACACTGAGGGGGTGGGCAGCTCGGTCCCTCCGTCACACACTAGTACAGGGCAGCCCATGTCCCTGTGTGTGTGGATGTTTCTTTTGGATCTTCACTGCTTCTCTGTTCCCCTCTCCCCATTTACTGGGGTGACTTGGGGGTGGCCCCGGACAGGATCCCTCTTGCTCTCTCCACGCAGGATCTGGCCCTGAACACACTGCCTGAGCCTCCTGTGCCAGCTCTCCTGATTCACCTGCTCTCTCTGTCCCCATTCCCCTTCTCTCTCGCTCTCGCTCTCTCCCTCCCCGTTTCTCCTCTGCTCACAGGGTTTTGGGTTTGTAACTTTTGAAACTAGCACAGATGCCGACCGGGCACGAGAGAAGCTGAATGGCACAATCGTAGAGGGACGGAAAATTGAGGTGCTCAGATAAGTGTGACTGCCATTGCCTGCTGTGTGTCGCCCACGCGGGTGCCTGGGCCTCCCCTGCCCCCAGGCTGCTTGCCTTGCACACGCCCTTCCCGGGGACTGCGGGGGTCCCAGTCATGTCGCATGCCTTGTGCGTTCACCCCTGCTTTCACCTGTCCTGTTCCTTTGAGCCAGCTGGCGGGAGGGATCCTGGCATCTGGCACGGAGGGAAATCCAGGCCCTGTCCAGGGACCATGGAGCAGTTCAGCAGGGGAGTGGGCTTTGCTGGCTTCCTTCCCTCTCAGTGCCTGCTCCACCCAGCATTAACTGGCCCAGGTCCTTGCCACCTGGCCCCTGGCCATGCCAGAGTCTGGCCCAGAGCAGAGTCCCCATCATGCATGTTCTCCTCCTTGTGGTGCTGATGGTGGAATGTTTGCTGAGTGCAGCGCATGTCCTTGGCCAGTGGTGCATTGCACTGGGGCTAGGAGGAGAGCTTACCGCCTGAAGCAAATGGCACAGGAGCAGGAGGGCAGGTGAGGGCTGGACCCCAGGGAGTTCTGGGGGGAGTTGGAGGGAGCACTGAAGGCCAGCATGCCAAGCCTCAGCTCTGGGGAGCACAGCTCCAACTTGACTGAAGTTCACCAGTGAACTGAGCGTGAGGGTCCCTTTCATGCTCCCCTCCCAGGGATTGTTGGTCAGCACCAAAGAGCAGCCAGTCGGCTGCATTAGCTCTGGGGTCTGCAGGACAGGACAGAGGGACACGGGCAACGCTGGGGAAGCAGGGGGTAGGTCTGAGATAGCAAGAGATGCCACAGGTCAGCAGTGAGGAGTCAACACTACAAAAATGGCAGAGTGGGAGCTGCCATGGGTGAAAACTGAACAGCATCAGCAGAGCTGGGGGGACCCAGGACTGGTGTAACTGGGGATCTGCAGGTCGGGACTGAGGGGCACCGACAGTTGGGGGACCCAGGACTGGTGTAACTGAGGATCTGCGGGTCGGGACTGAGGGGCACCGACAGCTCGGGGGGGCAGGACTGGTGTAACTGGGGATCTGCGGGTCGGGACTGAGGGACACCGACAGCTGGGGGACCCAGGACTCGTGTAACTGAGGATCTGCGGGTCGGGACTGAGGGGCACCGACAGCTCGGGGGGGCAGGACTGGTGTAACTGGGGATCTGCGGGTCGGGACTGAGGGACACCGACAGCTGGGTGGTCAGTGTGCACAGTCTGCTACTGCATGTTGCCTGGCTCTGACAAGGACTGTTGGACCCTCCCATTCATGGGCACCAAGATTGTCCCCTGCCCCGCTCCAGTGCAGACCTGTCCCTTCCCAAGGCCCCTCTGAGTGGTGTAAAACAGGAGGCTTCCTCCTCTCCACACATGCAGTTCAGCAATCCTTCCAGGCTTTGCCGCTCGCACTGGCCAGGCAGTGAGCCTAGCACAGGCCTCTCCTCCCACTGCCTCGTGCCCGTGTCCCCTGTACAGCCCCCAAGGCTGAAATGAGCTTGTAGCAGGCCAAGGAAGTGCCAAGGCAGCCTGCTCAGCACACAGCACCTTGTCAAACTCAGCTTCTGCAAGCTGGGGCTCGGCTCTGGATGTGGGTCCGAAGGGAGCTGGATGCTATCTGCAGTGTAAGCTCTCGAGGCCTCAGGGCCAGGTATCGGTTACCCCAGGGGCTGCAGGTCAGGACTGAGGATCACCAGCAGAGCTGGGGTTGGGGAGCCAGGGCTGGAGTAGCAGGGGCTCTGCAGGATGGGAGCCCTGGGCTGGACCAGCAGGTGCAGGAGCTGTGGGTCCAGATCATGGTGCAGCGGGAGCCCGGGGGAGTCAGAATTGCAGGGCAGAGTAGAGCTGTGTGCAGATCCCTGGGGTACCAGGCAGTGTGGCAGTGTCCCCCGACACTGCCTGGCCTGGTGATCATGTCACTGACATTGCCCCCAGCCCCAGGCTGGAAGAACTCCACATAAATGCAGCGGAGCAGGCCCCTGGGGCTGCAGCGTCTCTGGGTGCAGACAGCGATCTGTCCTGTGCCCTCTCTTCTGCAGGTGAATAACGCCACAGCCCGAGTCATGACGAACAAAAAGGCTGCAAATCCCTACATCAATGGTAAGGGCTGGAGGATGTGGGGCAGCAAGGGTGGGCTTGGCAGTGTGAGCAGCTGCGGGGAGCTTCCCTTGGGGCCTGGGAGCACAAGCATTGGGAGCATGGTGTGGGGTTTGGGGCTTTTATTCTTCCTGCTCCTAGGGCCTGAGGCTGTGTGGGTCAGATGGCCCCTCTGGAATTCCCAGCAACAAGCAAGAGCCAGGCCCACAAGTCCCAGCTCCTCTGGCTCAGGCCAGCCCCCAGTCCCGTCAGCATCTCTGCCCAGAGGACCCCAGGAAGGAGGGTGTTAGTCCCAGGGTAAAGGGCTGCACTGAGCATCTGGGGCAAGCACTGCGCTCCATGGTAGGAGCGGAGTGGGACCCTGGCCTCTAGGGGTAAAAGGGTCAGCGACTCCTCTCCCTGCTTTCCTGAGACATTTGCTACATTATGTCCAGCTCCCCCCCTTGCAGTAGGGGTCCCCTGCCATGGCCGCAGTTTGCACTGGGAAACATGGAGAGTGTTTGCCAGCAGCTGGGCCTCCCTGGGGTGGGCTCGGAGGCAGCCGGTCCCACAGGTCTCCTGCAGGCTGTCTCCCCATGGCCCATGGAGGAGGGTGGGGGTGCTGTGGCAGGGACGGCGGAGAAATCTGAAATCTCGGCTTGTTGCTCTCTGGATTCCCCCTGCGGGGGGTCTCACTGGCTCGCTGTTTGTGTGGCAGGCTGGAAGCTGAACCCAGTGGTGGGAGCTGTCTACAGTCCTGAATTCTATGCAGGTAAAGTCTGGATCAGGTCAGTCCCTTTGGCAGAAGGGCTGCTTCATGTCCCACTTGCCACAGAAGGAGCCCGCGTGACTCTGATTGCCCTTGGGCCTGCTCTCATGCCAGCCTCTCAGGTGGCGGGTTACAACCGCAGTTAGCGCCAGCCATCAATAATGCTGAAGCCAGGCCCCAGCCCTGATGCTGGGCAGTGCCCATGTGCCCCATGGTGATAGGTAGGTAGGTTTCCATGCCAATGTCCATGTGCCTTGTGGTGGTGAGTGCGATGGGTTGGATCACAGAAACCCCCTTGGGGCTGCCAACTCATGTGCCAAGACTATCTCTGCCCCTGCTTTCCCTGCCAGCTTTGGACTCCAGCACCCTGTCTTGCTGAGCCAGACACGCCAGTCTGCTCCAACACAGACCCAGGGTCTGAACCACGTACCCCAAAGCTGCAGACTTAACTGAAAGCAACTTAAGAAGTGTTCCTGTCTTTAACACTCAGATGCTCAACTCCCAATGGGGTCTAAACCCAAATAAATCCATTTTACCCTGTGTAAAGCTTATACAGGGTAAACTCATAAATTGTTCGCCCTCTATAACACTGATAGAGAGGTATGCACAGCTGTTTCCCCCCCCCCCCCCGAAATTAATACATACTCTGGGTTAATTAATAAGTAAAAAGTGATTTTATTACATACAGAAAGTAGAATTTAAGTGGTTCCAAGTAATAACAGACAGAACAAAGTGAATTTTACCAAGCAAAATAAAATAAAACATGCAAGTCTAAGTCTAGTACAGTAATAAAACTGAATACAGATAAAATCTCACCCTCAGAGATGTTTCAATAAGTTTATTTCACAGACTGGATGCCTTCCTAGTCTGGGCACAATCCTTTCCCCTGGTGCAGCCCTTGTTCCAGCTCAGGTGGTAGCTAGGGGATTTGTCATGATGTCCCCCCCTTTGTTCTGTGCCACCCCCTTATATATCTTTTGCATAAGGCTGGAATCCTTTGTCCCTCTGGGTTCCCACCCCGTCCTTCTCAATGGAAAAGTACCAGGTTAAAGATGGATTCCAGTTCAGGTGACACGATCACATGTCACTGTAAGACTTCATTAACCACTTGCCAGCCTACAGGTATACAGAAAGACTTACAAGTAAACAGAGCCATATACAAGTAATTGTCCTGGTTAATGGGAGCCATTAAGATTACAAACCACCATTAATGGCCCACACTTTGCATAATTACAATAGGACCTCAGAGTTATATTTCATATTTCTAGTTTCAGATACAAGAGTGATACATTTATACAAATAGGATGACCACACTCAGTAGATTATAAGCTTTGTAATGATACCTTACAAGAGACCTTTTGCATGAAGCATATTCCAGTTACATTATATTCACACTCATTAGCATATTTTTATAAAATCATATAAAGTGCAACGTCACAGTGAGTAACACCCTGTGGCGGTGGACAGGGCTCATAAACCCCCTGGGAGTACCCACGTGCCTCATGGCAGTAAGCAGGGCTCTGTGCTTGGTGACAGTGGGTTCTCCCAATGGTAGCGCCCCATGGCAGCAGGCAGCAAGTCCCTACTTCGGAGCAAGAAGTGCTGCTGAGGTGGACGAGTGCTGCGCAGGAGGGGCCCTTCCATCTCTCTCAGGATGGCCCATGGGCAGGCGCTAGCCGGAGAGCTGCTCTGGGATGCTCATGTCTCTCTCTCTTGCCTTCAGTAACAGGGTTCCCTTACCCAGCCACGGGGACAGCCGTGGCATACCGAGGGGCGCACCTACGGGGCCGGGGGCGTGCTGTGTACAACACATTCCGCGCCGCACCCCCACCTCCACCTATCCCCACCTATGGCGCGTGAGTATCCCAGGGAGCCAGGCTTCCTCGAACCAGTGGGGCCCTGGGGTCTGGGGCAGGCAGCAGCTTTCCCCCTTTCTTGGGAGATGGACTTGAAGGAGAGGGGCTGCTTTTCCCAGCACTTCGTGCAACTCAGCTGAAAATTGGGAGGCTGTAGGCCTGTTGTCCCTGCGCGGCTGGGGAGGCCCAATACCCTTCCATGGAACTGGGGTCTCTGTGTTCAGATCTCTGCACCCCACATGTGCAGCCTGGGGTGGGAGAGCAGACCCGGCATGTGGGGTACGGCTCAGCGGAGGTGGCACTGTTCAGAGTCGAGCTCTTTGAAGGTTCCTTGACTCCTTCCATCTCTTGGTGTCTCCTGGGGAGGCAGGGTTTATCCCTAGAAATAGCCCTCCCCCGGTTTCATGCCCCAGGTGCGGGGTAATCACAGGAGAGGACTTTGTCCCGCTGTCTGGAGCGGCTCACAGCCGTAAGTGCCGGCCTCAGGACAGACACCCCAGGCTGGAGGTGTGTTCTGTCACTAGATTTCACCAAGCCAGTAACAAACATGAGCTCCTGGATCACTATAACTGTCTCACCATGTAATCACAGACAGTCCCCTCAGATTCTCCAATCCACCTTGCCACCCAGATAAACTGGACTTAGTGATAAATGGTCACCTACACCACAAATCACCCGACATTCAGGTTGCTTCCAATCCCAAGAGACCGGTCACTTAGCCCAAATCAGTTGGGGTCTAAACACTAAATACATTCTTAAAATAGTAATACCTACTTTGAGCAAAGCTAACATCCAGGTGACCTGGTCTGGTCTCCAGCAACAAGGTTGTCAGTTCTTCGTTAATGCCTGTAGCTTGGGCAAGAGCTGGCATTCGGCCTGCCAGCGTCACAGACTCCAGGTTTCTAAAACTGAACTGGCTCTACATTAAGAGAGCTATGTGCAGACATGCTGTAACTGCGGCAAGCATTCCAGCCATGTGCACACAGACTGACTTCCTGTGCCTACGCTACACTCTTGTCTCCTCCCTCCAAGTTCTATGCAGGCTTTATACCCTCTCTCTGTAGTTGGGTACCAGCCCTCTGATGTCATGGGCTCCTGCATACTTTCAGCTGGGACAGCACAGAGCAGCCCCCAGAGGAAGTGGCTGCAATCTCATTTCCTCAAGAGCACTTGTTCCTCCTCAGCTTTTGTGAGGTGTCACTCTCCTCCCCCAGCTTTTCCCTGCTTTCAGCCCTGTTGGCACCTGAGCATCCACACGGGCAGATGTGGCTGCAGTTTAATTGCAGGTACACGCAGGCCAGCCTGGAGCAACCCAGACTAATCTCAGCATGGCTGGGACCAGACTGCCACCCAGGAACTCCAGAGCATCATCAGACACCCAACTGCAAGCCAGGATGGGGAGACGGGTCTGGCCCACAACGAAACAATAAACCCACCTTCAAATAGCCTGGCCACTCCCCACCCACCATGGCACTGGCAGCTTCCAGGCTTGCCCTCTGACGCACAGCCTGTCTCTTTGGACTGTTTGCAGGGTCGTTTATCAGGATGGATTCTATGGCGCTGAAATTTACGTAAGTGCTGCTCACTCCTCCTGGATGTTGTGTTTCACATTTCCTTGCTGATGCCAAAGGAAGCAGAGGCGGATTGGATTGAATCCCGCCACAACGCGGGTTGGGGCTGAGAAGACGTAGGGATGGCCCTGGGGCCTGCACTGTGCCCTGCTGGTCGCAGCTGGGAGTACACAGCTGGGCATTCCCCGCCGCTTGGCACTGAATGAAGCTGTGGTTCTGATGGTGGTTTTCATTTCTCTCTATTGTCCCGTATTCTGCAAAGTGAGGAACTTTACAGAAAATGTGCAGAATGTTATAGACTGTCTCATGAGCCATGATCCAACTGAGAACTGTGATCTCGCTACTCTAGACAATACATGCCAGACAAGCTGGTGTTGCCAGAGTTAAATTCCCAGCCATTAGAAGGTTTCCGGAGTGAGAAGAGATGTGGGGGATAAAAGAGGTGCCTGGCTTCTAGGAGCAGAGCAGAGAGGGGCTGCAGAAGAAGTGCTGCAGGGGTGGGGGCTGCAGCGGGCAGGGGCTGTGGAAGGAGCAGGGCTGGGGAACGGGCTGAAAGAGGCACAGGGCAGGGGCTGCAGTGTGCAGGGCAGGCGAAGGGGGCACAGTGCTGACTGCTGGGCCCTGAGCAAGGACCCCTCGCCAGGCAAGCGCTGCGCTGGATTTATGCTCTCGGACAGTGTCAGCACAGTGCATCACACCAGCATTTAACCTCCATATTTAAAAGCCCTTGGCCCTGGCTCAGGCGGGCAGCTGAAGGATTTATCTCATGTGACACCTCATTAAAGCGATCAGGGAAGTGACATTTAATTGTTTCCGGTTAACATGTTTGCAAGCCCCCTGGGAATGCTAATGAGCCTGGCATTTGCCTCATGGTGCAGACACCTGGCTCCTAGCAGGGTCCCAAAGCTTCTACCACTCACCAGCTGCTGGGCACAGTCGAGGGGAGCCAGGCTCCCTCCTCAGGGGTCTGCTAGAAGGTTGGGCTCCTTTCCAAGGGAGCTGCTCCACCAGGCCTGCCCGGAGCCCTCTGGGACTGCCACTCCCTGCCTGACGACGTGTCTCTTCTTGCTGGCACAGGGGGGTTACGCAGCCTACAGATACGCCCAGCCGCCAGCAGCGGCAGCATACAGCGACAGGTAAGGCGCTCCTCTGCCACCCTTGCCCAGCCAGAGGCACCTGTGGCCTGGCTCCCCACCAGCCCATTGGGCTTGTGTCAGCAGCTTTCATGCATCCCTGGAGAGAGAGGCCTGGGGACAGAGCCTGGGACTCTTGTCACCTCTGCTCCCAGAGAGGGCACACGGCGAGGAAGGGACATGCTCAGAACTGATCTCATTGCAGCCAGCGCCCACTCCACGTCCAGAAAGTGGCTCCTGGTCACCCACTTTCCTGGCCCTCACCAACCTGCTCCGTGCCCACAGCCCCCTCAGCCAGGAGCTGGGCATGTCCCTATCACGGCTATCACGGCCCCGAGGCAGCGCTCCAGCTGGTCCCTTCCCTGGGGGGGGAATGGGGTCGAGGTGCCCTGAGTGTACAGCGAGCAGAGCTGGCCTAGGGACTAGACCACAGCCCCTTTTTTCCCTGCCTGCTGCCAGGCATTCTCCAGCTGTGTCTCTCCATGCTGTACAGCACCAGCCACCCCACGGGACGGCTGGTGAAACACCGAGGGGCCGAGGGAGTGACTCTCCAACAGACCTCTGATCACGCCTACAGGCCGCCCCCTGCAGTGTGGAGCACCTGCTTCCTGCTCCTGCATTGCTGGCAGAAGCATCAGATAAATGCAGCACTCCTACAGCCAAATCCCTAGGCCCAGAGGAGGGGGGAACCCCCTCCCCATGAGATAGGCCCCTCAGATGGCCCAGAGGAGGGCCCAGCCTCCCCCACCCCCCTGGGCATGGCCTCCACATGGGGTTCAGCAGGGAGGTACCCGTATGGGTGGGAGGTTTCTAATGCCCACTGTGTTTGCTCCTAGCTACGGCAGAGTGTACGCAGCTGCGGACCCATACCACCACACCATCGGCCCTGCTGCCACGTACAGCATCGGCACCATGGTAAGAGCTGCCCCGCCCCCTGCATTCCCCTGACACTGGCTGCAGCTGGGGGGGACACCACACCCAGTGGGACGCCTTGACTGGAATGAGTTTGCATGTGCCCGGGGAGCAGGACGTCCCTGCCACGATCTGACTGTCGGGGACCAGCAGGGGAGCATTTCACTGGTGGGAAAGCCCAGGAGAAATTTGACTCCGTCTGACCCCACACAGCCTGTCCCCCCACCCACCCCCTCAAGGGAGCCCCCAACACACAGAGACCCATTCACACCCCCCCCCAGCCTGCGGGAGCCCCCAACCCACCTTACACTGGCACAGAGATCAGTAACTCCTTTCTACCTACGCTGTATGGGGGGGTGAAGCTGGAGGTCTGTGGCCCCCCTCTTGCCCTGGTGCCCACCACACACGCACATCCAGCATGCAAAGAGCCGACCTGCCAGGGAGCGTGTGCGCACATGTGTCTGTGCAGCCTGGCACCCGCCGCGGCTCCCTGGCGCGATACACCGTCCCACACAGCGCAGTGCAGGGGCGGTTTAGCTAGCTTTGCAACCAGCATCAAAGATGAAAAGTCCCGTTTGTGGGCAGGGTCTCCAAGCCAACCAGGCGTTTTCTTCCTTTTTTTAACCCTCCCTAATGCCCTGGCCAAGGCCTGAGCTGCAGCATGTCAGGGCGGGTCCTGCCAGTGCCCCTCTGCACACCCAAGGCGTGGGGCTTGGCCGGACAGGAGTGTGAAACTCAGGCGGCCCCCGGGCCGAGAGCCGGGCGCGCAGCAGCACTGTGCAGAGTCGGAGCAGCGCTGCCAGCAGTCCTGGGCGGGGAGCTCGGTGGAGAATGGAGGGGCCCTGACAGGGCTGCAGGACGTGTCCCCCCGCTCCGTGGAGCAGAGGGGAGGGAAGCCAGGCAGCACTTAGAGCAGGGGCCTAACGCCAGCCCCGTGGACGACCCCGGCAGCGGTGGGCTCAGGAGGTATCAGCAGCCCTGGGGCTGCCTGCCCTGCTCCAGGAGTACGGGAGGCTGCAGCCTCTCTCACACTCAGCCCTTCCCACCCCAGCCAGAAGGAGCCCTGCATGCTGGCGCCCAAAGAGCGCAGTGTCCCAAACGGAGCTGATGGGAACAGCCAGAGCCCAGGCAGTGCTGGGAGCAGCGTGCGCCGCTCCTGGGACCCCTCGGCGCCTCCGCCCCACCTGTCCTCCAGGGACAGGCCCGTGGGATGTCATTAAAAAAGGGAAGAAAATGGGCCTTGCCTCTCTCGAATACTGATTGGCTTTTCTTTCATCTTTGATGTTGCAGGCTAGTCTATACCGAGGAGGGTACAGCCGCTTCACTCCCTACTAGCAAGACACCCAGCCCCTCACCACACTAACACTGACTGCTCACTAGAAACCAAACAAACCAAACTAAGCAAAGGCAGAGCCTCCCGGAAGAACACGGTGCCCCTGCCAGGGGCCAGGGCTCTGCCCCGTACCTAGAACCATAGGTTTTTACCTCAAGCTGCTCTCATCCCGCGTCTCATGTCTCTTTGCTCACCCACCTGTGTCTGTCTGTGACCTGCCCTGGCTGAACTGACTGTGTTGTAAAGCAAGCAGCCTGGCCACTGCCCTGCTGCGGGGCTGGGGCGGGGTCCTGCTCTCCCTAGACATACAACCAGCAGCAAACCATGGGAGAGAGCCCGGGCTGAGCCCCCTCCTCTGCCCCCGCTGCCAGGAACACGTGAAGTCCAAAGGCCATGGCATTCCAAGAGAGCTGCCTTCCTGCGCAGAGCCGCACCTGGGCCTGGCACAGTCTTCCATTCTCTGGGCCTCTTCATTGCCCCAGCTCCCTCCAGCACGCCCTCTGGCAGGCAAGCCTGCTCCTGCTAGGCCAGGCTTGTTCTTCTTGTGCAGGCGCCTGACCACAGCCAGGGCCCCTGGGCGGGGCACTGCTCACACAAGGGAAAGGAGCGGAGGGTTTGTCCCTTAGGATAACAGGCTGTCTGGCAAAATGGGCCGGGAGCTGTGGGCAAGGTGGAGGGTGCAGGGTAGCTAGCACTAGCAGGGATAGCTGAGACTGGGGGGCAATGAGCATGGCCCCACCCCAAGACTACACTGGGGAATAACACCTGCATCCCTCTGCACAGCCTTTGGCCGAGACTTGGAACCTCCCATGTGCGCCTGGCTCTGGGGAGCTGCACATCATCATCGTCACAGCTTGGGGGGGGGGGGGGCAGCCTGTGTTTCAGGCCATGAGATGCCCTAGTGCCACAGGCCAGCTGGAGTTAGCTTGTCGTCCCTGGCCCAGCCACATCCACCCCCTTCAGTCACTACGGGGGGAGAGGGAGAGACTGGAGTCAAGAGCCAGACTGCTCTGTGGGCCAGGCTAGGGTAAAGGACAAAAGCCGCCTAATGAGAGAAGAGCTGCTTGGGGTGCAGGCCCAGCCAGGGGGCGAGCTCGGCCGTCTGCCTGGGCCTTTCTGGGGGGGACAACAGAACCCACTACACAGTCCTGGAGCCACTTTGTGCCAGCCCCACCCCACCTGCCCCTGGTGTTTGCTGAGCTGCCCCGGCATTGGCAGTCCATGCGCACAGGGCACATGGGACACTGTGTGGCTGAGCTGGGCCCCAGGGCTGCGAATGGCCATGGGGTCGGGCGGGCTGGAGTCCAGCGGCCCCGCCTGCCTGGCTGCGCCCCGTGGCCCCGCTGTGGGGCTGACCCTGGGCGCTGCGCTCAGCTCCCGGGTGGCTGCACAAGTTCTACCTTTCTGTTTGTGTTGTAGTGAAACCACAGCTGTTTCCTTCTGGGACCAGGAAGGGCAAAACAAATTAAAAACAAAGCAACAAAAAACAAAGCAAAGAGGCAGCCAACCAACCGAGTCCCATACTGTCCACACACATGCACTGAGCAAGCAAGTCCAGCAGGAGGCGCTGCACCCCGCCTGCGTCACGGAGAGTACACACCAAGCGGACAGCGCCACGGGCCAGCTGGGCAGAGAGCGGCCCCTCTCCCACCCTGCCCCGGCCAGCAGCCATGTTGGGAGACTTGGGTCCCCCTCCCGCTCCACAGCCTGCTGGCGCTTCCAGCCTAGGGCAGGGAGGGAGAGAGCAGTGCGGCGTGCTGGGACAGCCTCGAGCGAGGACTCTGCAGGCCCAAGGCTCCGGGCCTGGGCACCGTGTCTTCCTTTCCGCCCTCCCACGCCTGTGCTGTGGAGGCCAGGGCCAGCGGCACAGCCCCGCAGCAGCTCACGCCCTCCTGCAGGTTTGGGGGACTTGGCCTCAGGGGTAGGATTCTTGCTTTTTGTTTTCAGAGCTCCAGTGCTTTTGTGCTTGCCGGCCATCGGTGTGTTGAGTGTGTGAGGCCTCGGCTCTCTGAGCAGAGGTGGGATCGTTGATGCAGCAGCAGCTTTGCCTGGGCTGCTGGGTGTTGCAGGGGAAGAACTGCTGGGTTTGACAGGGATGTTCGCTAAGCGGAGGTTGTAGCTCCCTTGCATTGTCATCACCCCGGTGCCCTGCGCTCCCGGCTTCCCACAAGCCCATGGGGCTAAAGCCAAGCGGGAGCTGTTTCCTGCTCCTTCTCCTGTGCCACACCTATCCAGGGCAGACAGAGTGGGGAAGGGGCTGCTTGGGTGCATCTCTAGGCCACAATGTGGCATGCCAGGGATCATCTCAGCCCCTGCCCCCCAGCATGGAGCCAGAGGCGGCCATGTGATCCCACAGTGGCTGTCTCAGCCACTCCATCACCACTGAGGGGCAGGGAGCCAACCGCACGCCCCAGCCATCCCTGGGGCACACACACCCCTTAGTGGGGCTGCAGGGGCCCTGCTCAGAGCCAGGCCTGCCTCAAGCCCCAGTCCCAAGCTGGCTAGGCGCCGGAGAGGCCCAGCGGCATGAGGGTCACTGTGGGCAGTGAATGGGAAGCAGTGGGCACGGTTGGGCAGTGAGGGGAGGACAGTGCTGGCTCTGGCCAGGAGGTCCCTGCCTGGCATAGCCCAGCTCTGAACCAGAGACAGGTGGGGGCAGCTGGGCTCTAAGGCTGGGTGCGCTGCTAGCCAGGACACCAGAAGCATCCAGGCCCTTGCCAGCTTCTTTCAACTACTCACCCACAGCCTGCCCCATGCCACAGCTGGCACAGTCCAGTTGTGCCAAAGGCCAGAGAGGCACTTCCCCCCAGCAGCCTGGCAGCGTCAGGGTGGGTCATGGAGCTGTTTGCGAGGCTGTTGGGACAGCAGGCAGCTGGCTGAGCCAGATGGATCCAGCAGGTCTCCCAACATGGCTCTGTCATCTCATGAAACTTCACTTTATATTCAGCATACGCTCCTGAGGCTCCAGCCATGAGATCCTCCTTTTCTATTCCCGTTGTACATAGCCCCTTCCCCGCCACCCCGCTCCGCTGTACAAAGCTCCTTCCATTTGCCGTGCTGTCACCTCCCTGGTGGCCCCCGGCCCCAGAGCGCAGGCTGGCGCCCGCCCATTCTGTGTGCTTCAAAGGTGTGATCAGCCGACTGAACAGTATTAGTATGAGGATTATTATTATTAAGATTATTAATAAAGATTTCTTTCTTCAACCAGGATGACTCAGGTTTTGAATGGGAGCATAGATTGGGCACGGCCCAGAGTGAAGGCTGCTGGAAGTGGGAGGCAGGGCCCAGGCATCTGCCCCCCACCCTCCTAGCAAGGGGAGCCTAGGCCTGCTCTGCAGATGTGTCCCTGCCCTGGCGGCCTGGCATTGACCTGGAGCTGGAGTGCAGGACGAGCCTTGCAGGAAGGGGCGGAGTGGACAAATTATGCTTCTGGTGTCAGGCACCCTGGCAGCCTGCTGCTGGTGGCCAGTGTGTATTTGGCCACAGCAGGCACCCAATGCCAGCTTCTACCCTGGAGCCCCTCTTGGACTCTGGCATGGTGCTGTGCCTCAGACAGCACCCACACCTCGCTTGCCCACCCTCTGACAGGAATTTTCCCAGGAGGCTTTTCTGGAGGGCTGCCCTGTTAAATTTGCCAGGGCTAGGCCCCTGCACTCAGTTTGTAGCTAGCTATTCTGGCATTGCTCCAGCAGGCAAGGCCTGGCATTGCTCCGGCCTTGTTCAGCCAGGTGTTGTTCCGAAGGAGCGGGGGGCAGACCCTCCTCGGGTTTATGGTGAATTTGCCTTGAACCTAAGCCCCAGGAGCCCCCTACCCAGCCAGCCCTGCTGCCATCCAGCGCTGCTGTCATAGCCCCAGCGGTGCCCCCCCCCCAGTATTTGTGTGACCCCTGCTTGGGGTACTAGGAAGTCTGCCCTCGCCGCTCAGGGCCAGGCTGACCTGTGACTGGCAAACGCGTGTTCCTGGGACGTCTAGCGCACAGCCTAAATGCGCAGAGCGGGCTGGTGCCCAAGGGGGGAACTCTACCACCCAGCCACTCTGCCCACAGGCACCTCCGTGCACCAGGCTTGAGCTCCTGCAGCACCTCTGCGGGTCGCACTGTACAGCTGGGTAAGCACCATGTTGTGCCTCTTATCCCTGCCTGCCGGCGGGGCTGGACTGTGAGACCCCCACAACAGGCAGCCTAGCAGGGCTCCAAGCCATTGCCTCTGCCGGTCTCTTCCTAGCCACAGGGCTTCCTGCTTCAGCAAGAACGCACTCCAGGCAGACCTGTGGGGCACGAGCTCCCCCCCAGGTCGTGGGGCTCAGGCACCAGGGGAGGGAGGCCCCTCAGCACAGCCCAGGCTGCACGGGGTGGGTAAAGCAGAGCGAAGCGCCATAAAGAACTAAAAGCCTCCCGGGGTAAGAGCCGGCGAATTGCTCCCTTCCACATAATCCCCCAGCCTGGCAGGCACGCCCTGCCACACTGAGCCCTTCGTTATTCACCCAGTCCGCTGGTTTAGTTCAGGGCGATTCCACTCGGCCCAGCAGCAGTTCCAATGCCACCGTATGAATGTTCCTGGCCGTAAGCTTGGGGCCCGCCGGCACAGGGAGCCGAGCTGGTGAACCTGGCGCTGCAGCACCGCTACCCCCCTGCCTGCTATTCGCTCGTTCACGAGCCTGTGAGGAAATAATCGCCACTGTCAATTCCTCTCCTCAAAGCATCCAGGGAGCCAGCCTTAGAGAACCACTGCCCTGCAACAAGCAGCTGCAGCCACCTCTGCACTCGCTCAGCTGTTCCATGGAGCTTGCACGTTCTCTGAGCTAGACCCCAGCCGGGGACGGGCACTGGCTGTCTCCCCGCACCGGACCCAGCACGTGGCGTACAGCAGCTCAGGACCAGGAGCAGCCCTGCCGGCCCACAACCATTCACCGCGCCCGCCCCATGCAGCCGGCAGCCATGGCTATCCCAGGCAGGCTCAACCATGCCCTTCCTGGAGCCCAGCCGCCAGCAGCGCAGAGAACTGAAGAGTGGGGCTGCCTGGGCCTTTGGGGGCTGAGGGACCCAGAGCCACTGCTGGCTCTGGGCTCTTCCAGGACCCGCTGCCCAGCGCCACCAGACCAGGGGGTGCAAAGGAGCAGGGAGGTGGGCCCGCAGCTGGCTGCCAGGCATGTGCTACATGCAGGGCCATGCCCCAGCAGCCACCTGACCAGCCGGGGGCAGTCCCCCTCCACACGCAGGCAGAGCACCCGGGCCTGGTGTGAAAAGCCGCAGGCGGCGCGGTCAGGCTGCAGCACCCGGCCGGGCCAGGCGATGCCGGGAGCCAGCAGTGTGAACTGAGCAGGGCAGGGTCTGGCTCCAGCCGGGCTCTGCCCAGGGTCCCCACTTCGCTGCCCAGCAGCTCCAGGGAAAGGGGGGTTGAGCAGCCCCGGGCTCCCCAGCGGCCCCTTGCCAGCCAACGTGGGACTCTGCTGCCCCCCCGTGGCTCACCCCAGCAGTGCAGGGTTCAGTCCCAGCCCCAGGCTGGGCGGGGCGGCTGCCCTAGCGGTGATGCCAGCGGCTGGCCAGGAGCCCTTCCAATGGGACAAGATTGGAGAGGAGCCAGGTCGGGGCTACCCAAGATCTCTGCTATTCCCGTCCAGAGCACCCCCCAGCTCTGCCACTGCCCCTCCATCATGCCCCCAGCCCCCAGGCCAGCCCTGCGCTCCCCCACGAATGCCCAACTCGAAGGCCGAGAGCCGTGGCACTGTGCCAAAGGTCACATTTAATAGGTGCTCGTGCTGGCTGGGTCGGAATAGACCAGAACCAGCCGCCCCCATCTGGAACGCTCCACGGCAGCCCCTTCGTTCGGAACCGGCTCCACGAAGAACTCCACATGGCAGGACTCCTTGGGGGGCGGCTCTGGCAGTGCCAGGCCCACCACACGGTAGAGGGTGTTGTGTGCCACCCCGAGGAGCTGCTCTGGCAGGGGCAGCACCTGGCCCCTAGGGCGTGCCATGCCCTGGCAGTGGATCCGGAAGCAGCGGGCTTGGCTGGAGGGGTAGGACCAGCGCAAGGTGAGGCTGAGGGAGAGCTGGTTTGTGCCAGGCCCCTTGTGCCACAGCACCTGGGAGGCCTCGAGGCTGGGCACTCGGGGCAGCGAGGAGCGCAGGTTGTCGGCATCCAGCACCTGCAGGGGAGACGTGTGCTTAGACACAGCCCAGGGCCCGCCCGGGCAGAATGGGCTCTCCAGGGCAGCACCCATGAGGAGGGATCCATGCGGGGAGGGCACCTCACCTCAGCACTGCCCCCACCCCCAGCCAGACCCCCCCAGAAGGGCAGCAGCAGCTGCAACTATCTGCAGGGGGCAGGGCTCCCCGGAGACACTCCTTTCCCCTCCCCTCCCCTCCCCCAGGCTCCATAGGCAGATGTTGCTACAAGGGATGGCAGGTGGGC